TATTAAATACTTAAGCTGCGTCATTTATACTATAGTGTACACGAAATTACCCAGTTAATAAAACTTAGAAATTGAGACCTTGATGCATAGTTACCAGACTTGAAGTCGAAGGAATCTCAATATRGAACTTCAAAGGAAAACGATTGAYAATTGAAAATGACATTAGTAGAAACTAACTAGAGGAGTAAAAGCAATAATGACAACAACTTTATTTGAATTAGTTAATATTGAGACTAATCGACCATCAACAAAATTAGGTTGCTCATCACAAGTTAGAAAAGGTTAAGAAAAAAAGTATCTTTAATATGAGTAACGGTTAGGTTAGACAAAATTACCATGCCTATAAGACCTAGATTTCTATAAAACCAAATTATATTTTGAATATTATAGTCACAAACATAGAAGAATAGAAGATGAATTTTCAAACGAAATAAGTTGTTCCAAGATGGTGTAAGCCTCCAATGTACTCGTAAGAAACACAGCATTAATAGGTGGGTAAATAACGTCAAGTAATAGGTTAAAATAGTCATCAAAAAAATGGTGAACAAATATGGGTGTGGCTGAATAGAAATTGAATTGTTTTTTATTGCAATAAGAACGCCGTCTCCGCATGAATGGAGATTATTCAAAAGATTTCTATCATATCTGAATATATCAAAATCATCAAAACCWAATTCAGAGCCAAATATATCAAAGGAATAGGAGATAGCAATGTCTCGATAAAGATAATTATCTCGTTTGAAAACATTTAAAAAAGCTTATAAGATTAACCGGTTTAGTCCTGAGACCAAACACTTATCAATAAGATATGTTTAAATTGAAATTTATGTTACAAAACTTATGATTGACATTAGGTGATGCAATAGGAGTTATTGGTTCAACGAACGGGGTTGACTCAATAATAACAGTAAAAAAAAAGCTAGAAGTAAATAAGCAGATGAATTGATAGAAGTACGTTGAAGATCCTTAACGATGAATGGACATCCCGGCCGAATTATACTCTATTCTACCAAGAGCGTACAGGCGAGGCAGACGAAACCCGATCACTCACGCATGCATTCCACGCCACTGACTGTTTTTGCGCTGGTATGTGGCGAACAACCAAAGCTGAGCAAGTTAATGATTTTTTTAACTCAGTTAAGTAAAATTTTTTTTTTTCAATTAAATTAAAAGTTAAGTCAATATATTTTTAATTCATCAATCAAGTTGAACAAATGTTRTTAACTTAACTTCAATTAATAAGTTAAGTTAATAAAAAAAGAAATTCAATGGAAAGGTTTAAAAATAAGTGAAAATCACAAATGTACCTATAATACACCACTATTTAAAGGTAGGTAGGTATTTTTGTAATAAAATGGTGACAATTCATGATAATCGACAATGTCATTCATAAAAATTATATAATAAGATATTAATAAATATTAAGTAATAATAATAATAATAATAATAATTAAAGAGTACCTAACAAACCTGGTATTATTAAACGTGATATGGTCATACAGGCGACTAAATATCACATTGTTACAATGTTATCTCTATATAATTAATTATTAATTATTTTATTAGTACATACTTAATTATTATAACATATTAGTTGTTATCTATAAAAATAATTACGAAAATATCTTCTTCTTTTCCAACAATATTTTCTAATATTCTACGAATTTTAAATCGACGAACYRTYAYWRACTAAAATATATTYTAGATAAAACGAAAATTCAAAATTAACTTAATTGGTAATATTAAAAAGTAGAAGGTGATTTTATGTTAACGTAGATAAAAATAAGTTAAGTTAATTAAAACAGCAAACTAATAAGTTAAGTTAATAAGTTAAAATTAACTTAACTTAGTAACTCGTTAATTCCCAGCTTTTCGAACGACCAATAACAGAACGATTAGATATAGATTGGGAGGAGTCAGACTTTGTTCCGCGGTTCACTTGTATGCAYTGAACTAACTCATACCACTWATTTGGAATTGAGTATAGTTTTGTTGATTTCATGGCTGTATGACAAGTTGATTGATGGCCATGTAATGAAACAATAGAAGGAATCTTGTAACTGTATCCGACTGTAATTGTTACACTCACTCGATTTCTTCCCATCGTTGAGATCAGCATATACGATTTCTAGTCTATTCATTAAAGTACGGTCTTGTGTGACTGAGATGGTGATATATGACTTGGTTGGGGCCACTTTATGAGATAGCTTAACAACTTTAAAGTTGTTAATGAACTATAGTGCACTGCTGTTTTGAAGGGAATATAAGCTTCAGTGTTAATTAGTTAGGTCTAATCTTGGTATAATCTTATAATGGGAGGCTAAGTTATAAATATTAATTGAGTAGCATATGATAGGAATTTAACATCACCAAACATCCTGACAATAGRTAAAGTAGCAATAGATTTCAAGAGCCCACGAAGAATGACATTAAATTAAAAAAATTTTATGATCAGGAAATTCCCTTAACAGCTGCAGTAACTGATCAGTAGTAAAGGCGGACATTATTACTAATGTATTGTAATTTTTACTTTTTATTTAACAACTTTTGATTAAATTAAGTATAAGAGTTAATTTTGGTTTGTCCTAACAATGAATGAATGTTATAAAACTATAACCATAAGTATCGACTTTATACTTTATACTTTATCGAATTCTTTATATACATTATTTTATCTTCATCGACCATCATGACTTATGAAAACATATTAACTGACAGGACCTATTGATTAATTAATAATGGAAACAACAAAATTGTTTTAAATAGTATACATTACAATACCTATGTAATAAAATAAGAATAAGTAACTAATAATAACATTAAGTTTTTAAAAACTGAATTTAAGCATATTAAGATCAAGCAGGTGTGGTTTAAAAA